CAAAATCTGCCTACAAGAAAATCTGTCACCAAAGTACACCAATATATCATTATATATATATCTAAGACTGTCTGGATTTGAATTTTAACCTCTTAAGTATTGAACGTACCACAGTATTTTTTTTTCAAATAATAAATTGCATATATTATTATTTTTTCATCACAATCTCCAAATCTGTTTTTGTGACTTTACTATTATTAAGATCAAATCTTGAAAGAATGGATTAGTTCGTGATCTTCCAGGTAGGCAGATGTGCTACTTGAGACCTCATTAGTAAGCAGAGCCTACGTCATCAACAACCGAAGATTAAAACTCAATTCAATATTAGATTTGAAGAATACAATTCAAAACCTTAACCATGACTTATCAATCAAGTGAATTAAATAACAATGGAGAAACTCATAAGAAAGAGGAAACACGCGTATACACTACTATGTAGGTTTACCTTTAAGATATGACAAAATACGCTAGTACAGTATATATCCAACATAATTACAATATGAAAGAGGAGATTGGAAGAATTAAACCGGGTTAATACATGACAAAAAAAGTACCTTTTAATATTTTCTATAAATGCCGACCTTCCCGTTTTTAATTTACCATGTTGTTTTGTAAGCCACAGGAAAAATAAATAGAGTTTGATCCATATCAATGAAATTATTTTCTCTTTTATATTATGATGAAATCGTTGTCTTATTTGCCCACTATATGATTCCTACCTCAAAACTAAAAGACATTATATGTGTTTGTATCACAAACCTGAAAACATGACGAAAATAGGACAACTCTTCTACCATCAATGAATAACGTGTTTGTTTATGTTTACTATGTGTGTGTGTGTATGGTTAATGTGGCACATTATTTCGATCATTTTACAGATCACATGCCCATCGTATCACTGTAAACTTTTAGAACTATCCTACAATATACAAACTACAACAACAGCTAGAACACTAAGTTCACAAACAAATGTACAAGACACAACTCTTGTTTGAATTCAATGGCATTTCTATCAGCTTTTTCAGTTCTGATTACGCTATTGTTTAGTTAAACTGAAATTTATAAAAAATACGCATAGTTTGTTTACATTATCATATACTTGTTACTATCAATGTATGTTGAATAATTTGATTTAAACATTTATTGGACCAAATCTTTACACCTTTTAAATATGTGATGAGTTTTTAATGATTGGGCACTATTATATTTAAAGGCGTATTTTTGTCGTGGTAATCCATCATTTCTGGTTAGATGTTACTAAATTTAAAAACATGATTCTGAGAAATTAATCCAGTATTACTTAATATACATTAGTATACTTAAAGACATTCTAAACCTGTGAATTTATTGCAGCTACTTAGATGTTACAGTGTTTAGAGAGATGACATTAATGTATGAACATGTTATCACTGATCAGAAAATATTGCTTAAAACATGTTTTCGGTGAAAGAATTTATCAATACCATTTGATTACTGATGTATTTAAGGAACAAGTTCTCAACGTATGAATCCATTATTGGTGATTAAATATTTCTGTGTTTAGAAACATGTTATCAACTTGTAAGTAAGTTATTAAATATTAGTTATTACTATGTCTAAAATATGTAATTAACCTATAAACCTGTTACTGATTGCTAACTGCTACTATGTTTAAAATATACCAACTTGTAAATCCATTATTAATTACTAAAAAATATTTTCATAACGTGTGGATCCATAGTTTCCGATTAGATAAAGTTATATTCAAAGAAATTACCTTAATGTGTGAATCTATTATTGCTGATTAGGTACAACTATATTTAAAGGAGTGGTCTTAATGTGTGAATTCATTATTATTGAGGGAGTAGTTAGTACGGTGGAGTTTCATGAGAGCAGAAAAATTACTAACATATTTAAAACATCTCAAATTTAGAGTTTATCACTTTGGTCGAGCGACATTTGTTTAAAGTAAATGTCGACTGAGCCATTTTGGTTATTGGACGTGTTTTATGGTATATGTCGACTAAGATATTGTGGTCCAGTGACATGTTTTTACAGTAAATGTCGACTGAACAATTTC